GTGAATAAGTTCCGGAGTAATTATTTGAACATGTCTTTGCTTAGTATTTCTATAGTTTCTTTAAGTAAAATTTGCTGGAAAAAATCCGCAATAATTATGCATCAACCTAGTATATAGAGGCACGTAAAATGCAGGGAAAATAGAAAATATCAAAATAATCGTGTTTGACCGCCAGGAAATCATGTGTACCTTCACTAGATCACTTAATGAACGATCGCCGAAAAGTTACTGAGATCGCGGAATGACTGTGCCACCTCCCAATCTTTCTCGAAGTAGTAAAGCCTAATTTCGCGAATATACGGATGGTTTCTTGAGTATATTCTTGTAGACGAAATCAAGTAAATCATTTCTAGAGAAAACCTGAACTCAATATTCAAATTCTATCGAGAGAAAAAAAAGCCGCAAAAAAATCCGCAATAATTATGCATCAACCTAATATTTCCCTCATAATTTAATTGAATGCCTTCCTGGTGCGTTCTTTTATGCTGATGAATGCCGATTCACTGAGAGTGGAACTTGGATATTGAAATGTTCTCTTTACATCTATGGACACTAGACAGGTGAGATAAGTGAATTCAATAGCTATTAAAGCAAATATTATACATCAAAAATTTTACATGAAAAAGCTTTCTATTTGAGCTTGTTTTCGTAAGGTTCGGGGTTGCAGGAAAAGCAATGGTTCATACGGAAATAATAAAAAAATGACAATGAATTCCCATACAGATTTCCATGAAAATATGAATTTTCTGAATGCGGCCAACATGAAACCAAGTTTTGAGCGTCGGAAACATATAAATAGGAAAGCTGAAAGCAAGTATTCAAATTTTTCGCCAGAATTTCATAATGGAACAGCTTTTTTTTGCTTTCGTCCTCATTGGTACTACACTGGTACGTTTGATATGATGCTATCACTATGATAAGGTTATGAGTATCGCTTTTTATCCCCTTAGGCAGGTTAAATTGAAAAACACAACGTTCAGAAACAATTCTTTGAAGGCTTGCCAACCAGTACCAGAACCTATTTTAACTGGAAGAGGTGACGAAATAACACATGTGATTATAATCACCGACCAGCCATTTAATCCATCAAAAATTAATGAGTATAGGGGCTATTTTGCTCAAACAAAGGTTAGTGAGAGATTTTTTCCTGGCCATACCTAAAAATTTTCATTTCTGAATATTCATTTCAGATTAGAGATTATTCATGGTCTCTTGGACGCTTTTCAAACCTAGAATATACTAGTGCCGGTGGATATCTCGCCGTTAAATTCACACTTAAGGATAGTATTTGCGATTATGTACTGATTGAGTCATTTTTTACAAGATTTTTTTTCGTTCCAAGTTGACACCAGTAGTGCGCTGTTGATTATTTACACAAAACAATAACCCTTGTTTTAAGGTGGAAGATTGGGTGAATCGAATCGTGCAGAGCTCCGATCACTACAGAAGTGGAGATGCTAGATGCATGGAAATGACAACAACAACAACAACCACGACGACGACGACAACAACAACAACAACACCAACAACAACAACAACACCACCAACAACAACAACAACGACGACAACACCACCAGCAACAACGGCGAGCTTATTCAAAGTAAGTCCAGCTGCAGACTATCCTCTTGCGCTGGAACATACCTTGTATAGTACACCTACTATGTTTACCATTATATGAAGAAGAACCAGCACATATATGACAAACCTTCTTTCATTTTATTCATAGATAAATCACCAAAAAACCGTGAAGCAAATTACCTCCAAACTGAGCCTCAGAAGGAAAGGAGCACCGGGGTAGACGAGTCAATTGGGTGTTCATTTCTTGCCCAATCCTAGCTTTTGCACGAGAAAAGCATCCCGCCTACTTCCATACCCCTAATCATTGTTACTACCCTGGTATGTCTAATATGGCACTATCACCATAACTTATGGGTAACGCTTTTAACCTCTCAGGCAGGTCAAATAGAAGAACACAACGTTCAGAAAAAAATTTTTGAAGGCTCTCCAACCAGCGCCACCACCTGTATTTGCTGTACGAGGATACGATATGGCGCATGTGGTTATAGCCATCAACCAACCATACGATCCATCAAAAATTATAGAATATATGAGCTACTTCCCTCAAACAAAGGTCAGTGGGGTTTTTTCCTGCCCATAACTGGAAATTTTTGATTTCTGTAGAATTCATTTCAGATTGAACAATATTCTCGGCAACTTGGAGACTTCAAAAACCTAGCAAACACTGCAGTCTCTGGCTATTTCGGCTTTACATTCAATATCGATCATTGTGTTTGCGCATATGTACTGATTGAGTCGTTTTTTTTTCAATTTTTTGTTCCCAACCTGACACCAGAATGCGCTATTGTTTATTTACACAGACCAACAACCCTTATTTTAAGGTGAAACAGTGGGTGAATCAAATCGTACAGAGCTCCGAGTACTACACAAAAGGAGAGGTCACATGCTTTCCCGATTTATACCCAGTGGAAACGACCCCAGTGGAAAGAACAGCAACAGCAACAAGCTCACCTAAAGTAAGTCCAGTTGCATCAATCTTCCTGCGTTGGATATATACCATGTGCATCTACCGTACGGACCAATATATGAAGAAGAACCACCAGTAGCAGGCTAGGACTAGTCCTTATTTGGGAGCACATATATGACACATCTTTGATCTCATTTTATTACTTATACTTATGATTATCTGCTCGTCTTCACTCATATGCGATCACCAGCAACAAACCATTGGCTTCTGTCTTTCGCGATCGCCATCCACGGTAGACTCAGGATTCGACGAAGATTGCGGTGTGAGGGGTCGTACCGCTGCTGTCGCAGCTGTTTCACTGATTGACAAGCACATCCCCCCATCTCACAGCAGCCCTATGCGGTGTGAGGGGTCGTACCGCTGCTGTCGCAGCTGTTTCACTGATTGACAAGCACATCCCCCCATCTCACAGCAGCCCTACCCTTAAGTAGTGGAAATTCTACGGGGCTCACTCTACTGTGTTCTTGTCCATCTGCCATTAACTCTTCTCATAATATGAAATTTCGCGTTCCTCATGAATTTCGCGGTTCGTGGAGTGGAAACATCCTACATATATTGGAGCTGTGGAGTCCGGCTCGATATTTAGTGAGCCGGTTGAGCCTTAAAAATCGCTCGAGCGCTCTGTGGTTGTGCTCCTTCACGTGGATGCACTAGTCACCCAATCTCCGACCCGTAACAGAGCGCAGGAAAAACTGTGGAACCGAACAGATTAGCGCGAATTTCCGGGTCAGCTAGATGGTTGGTGACCTCTTCCAGAGGCCCGAAGGCTGCCCACGCTGTTTTCTGCCGTCTCGTCAGTTCTTCCCTCATGTCGTTGTCCATATTCATGGAACGCCAAAGACAGATGTAGGACGAGGTCTCCTTGAGGGTGTACCATCGATATTAGTTTGACCTTCGTCAGCTCGAGCATTCTTCATAAACTGTGTCTTTGTTTGGTTGATCCGCAGCCCTACCTTC